AGCTGCTGCATGCTACACGGAGGTTAAAACTGTCCATTACCACAGACCATGGTATTGTTCCTGTTGGTGGTGGTATTATTGGTGAGTTTTTCAGGAAACCTATCTGGTTGTCCAAAGTTAATTTTATGCTTTAAGTCACCCGCGCGCGTAAGTTTTGGAGAAATTTGCACTTAACAAAACAAACAAATCAGTATTTTCCTTAAAGGGACATGGAAACAGTCTCAACTGAATTACTGTATACAGGGTTATTTTCACCCCGTCTTATTTTCGCCCTTTCTCTCTTGCAAACAATTTTGCCCCGTTTTAAATTCGCCCAGTCATAGTTTTGTTTAAGAAATTATACTGTATTCTTTGAATTCGTCCCGTTTTAAATTCGCCCAAATGAGGGTAGGGCGAAAGGGGCGAAAAGAAAACGGGGGCGAAAATTTCCCTGTATACAGTATTTAAACCAATTTAAATCCTTTCAATTCCTAACTAGGACATCATCTAATGATCAGCAAAAATTTGAACATCAATTATTGATTAACAAACGAGATACAGAACTTAAAGGTCTTCAAAATGTAAACAAGGCTCCTGCCTTGTTTTTGTTTACATATAGACAATATATTCATAACAAAATGAAATTTATCAAATCTCTAGAAACAGTCCAACTGTATTTAAAATTAACTTTATTGAAATTATCTGCTTTGAGCGAACATGTATTAGTAAATTAACCTATGTAAACAAAAACTTGACACGGACCCTGTTTACATAACAAAGGTATGTAATTTTAGTATTTTAATGTTATAATTTCGAACACATATATGAGTATATGTTAATATTTTATACAAGTATCCATAGCTTTTAAATTATGTTTACTTGTGTTTTATTGTACAGCGCTATAGAGTTAATTTATTAATATGTAGCGCTTTATAAATTCATATATTATTATTATTAGGGTTTGGAGCTCTAAATCTGTCTTGTATCTTGACAATTAAAGTTCAAATTTTTGATGATTATTAGAAAGACCTTAGTTAAATATCATAAAAATGGAAAAATAAAATTTGGAAAATTGTTAGCTGAAACTGTGTCTATGCCCCTTTAAAGTTTGTATTTCGGTTTGCTTTAAATCCAGGCAACAAAGAATTGCATTAAATAGGAAAAGACAACTAATGGATGCATCTGTCATGACAGATACTTTACTAATTTAAAACATCATCATTAAAAAATAAGCCTACATGATGCAAAAAATATTTACAGCATTGTGATGCATGTGAATGAGTAAATACTCATTTCTTTATGTTTACATTTGCAAATGTTTTCCTTTATATAGCACTACAGAAAGCAATGCGCATCTATTCAAGGAATGAAGCTTATTTCAACTTATTTATATATTATGTTATTAAATTATATATATTTATATATTGAATTATATATGTTATATCGTATAACATAAGTTGAAATAAGCTTCATTCCTTATAATTTAATTTCAATGTAGACAATGATACAATTTTTCCATTTTTTCCCTTCGGAAAAAGGCTTCAAATATAGCAGATTTTAAACGTTAACGTCCAGCGTTTGTAAATGCAGCGGAGTAATACGTTTTTGACGTAATTCATTGTGACGTAGGCAAGTTATGTTATACAAAATGGATACAACCGTTTAACCAATCAAATGACGTATTACAACTGAAATTAAATTATAACAACTGAAATTAAATTATAACTGTATAGATACCAGTACGGGGTCAAGAGGTCATAGATATGCGTATGGATAAACGTTCGACGTAAATTCTCAGTGACGTCATAAAAGGTCGACGCGCGCTCACTGGATTACATACATACCGTTGGGTTTGAAAAATAATGCATTTCACACGTTAAAAGTCACAATCAGGCAAATATAAAGTATGAATAAGTCACAAATGTAAATATAAGTAATAAGGTATCATCTTAAAACATCTATCGGGCTATAAATACGGGTTGGTACGAGATTAAATTCATCATAAAGCCCTTTGGGCTTTATCAATTATGGAATTTAATCTCATGACCAACCCGTATTTATATCCCGATAGATGTTTAAAAATGATACCTTATTTCTTAACATGCATTCTCTGTAAGCACCAAAAAATTTACTATAGGGCTTGGAAACGACATATCTCTGATTTTGATGAAATTTGCACCACAGGTGCGCCTTGGTACAAAACCAGCAAATATGGTGTTAGAAGTTTCCCACGTGCACCCGGTTGCCATGGAGACGGATCCATTGAATTTGGCCATTTTCGGCCATTTTTGACCAAACAAAAACATGAAAATTGAGGAAATATGAATGCATTTTTGTCTTTATGTAGTGAACTCAAATATAAATCTTTGTATCATAAGAAAACATCAACTGTAAAAGAATACAGGGCATATAACAGGTTATTCCAGAATTGACCCCACTCTTAGAAAATGGTTCTGCAAAATAGCATAGTTTCTCAAAATGTGAAAAATGGAAAATTTGGCATTTTTTGAGAAATTTAAGGTTAAATAAAAAAATTGTCTACGGAAATTTTTCAAATCATATGCGTGTCGTCAGACGTCAGTATTAGTAGTGTCCCCTCATGAAAAAATTGGAGTGGGATCTCAATGCTATTTTTAGTAACATGTATCTAAAAATAGACATTTCAGAAAAATCTAGAAAATGAAATTTGGGCAGAGTTTAAGATGCCATTGCTAGGTAATTATGAAATATACTGTAAAAGTCAATATGCTAATGTCAGAGTCTGGACACCAATAACTACCGTGCATATTATTTTCAGGGATTTCCGTTTTCTATTTATAGCTTCAAATGCCTAGATATAGACATGTCTCATAAAATGATGAAAAATGTCAATTTTCCATCATTTTGAAGCTCCACTGAATCATAAATAATGAAAATATGGATCTCTCCAATATTTCATCAATAAGAACAAGGAATAGTATAATATCTCACAAATTATTGAGGACAGGCTCTCATCTCTATAAATAGTACAAATGTCTAAAATTAGACACATGAAATTAACTGTTTAATGTTGATTTTCCACTAATTCTCAAATTAGAGATGGGAAATTTACCGACTTACTGTCATTAACTGTAACTGATATTATGTGACTGACAAGAACAAAAGAACATTCAATGGAATGTAGCATGATAAGCAGAGGTTTCCATTTCTATTTATAGTAACACATGTTTAAAAATAGACGTAATGCAAAATATCGGGTAAAGTCGTTTTTTGTACTTTTTTCTAAAATTTTGGATGAATAATTGCTGACTATCTGTTTTTAACTGCTATTGGCATATGGTGACCAACAAGTAAAAGAAAGCCTTATATCAAATACAAAATAGAAGCAGTGGTTTCCATTTCTATTCATAGTAACACATGTTTAGAAATAGACGTACTGCAAAATATCAGAAAAATGTAGTTTTTTGTACTTTTTTCTCACATTTTGGATGAACAATTGCAGACTATATGTTTTTAACTGCTATTGGCATATGGTGACCAACAAGTAAAAGAAAGCATTATATCAAATACAGAATGAGAAGCAGAGGTTTCCATTTCTATTTCTAGTAACATGAGTTTAAAAATAGACATACTGTAAACTATCGGAAAAATGTAGTTTTTTGTACTTTTTTCTCACATTTTGGATGAGCAATTGCAGACAATATGTTTTTTACTGCTATTGGCATTCAGTGACCAACAAGTAAAAGAAAGCATATATGAAATACAGAATGAGAAGCAGAGAATTCCATTTCTATTTATAGTAACACATGTTTGAAAATAGACATTCTGCAAATTCTAGAGAAAATGTAGACTTTTGCACTTCTTTCTAACATCAGGGATGGTCAAAGTGCAGACAAACGGCTTTTATTTGCTATTGACAGAATGTGACTAATGTTTAAGGGTATTTTTACATTTCTGCCTATAGTAACACATATTTATGAATAATCAGGTAAATAAAGAATCTTTCGTTTTTCTCAAATTAACTTTCATTAGCTGTAACTGACATGGCTAATTGTATTCGGCGCGCCATCGCGTCCACCTCATGACAAGGTCATGACACAATCTTAGGTCATGGGCAATCTTTATGTGAAATAAGAACATACCAACTTGAAATTTATCCATAAAAAAGATACCATTGTCGCAAACCACGCCAAAATGTACGATCCTGTCCCATTCTGGCCGTGGTTGAACGAGGCGAGAATTCTTCGTATTAAAATACTGACCAATGCGAGTAAAGCATAGTCGGAAGATGAACGTTATCACGACCTTTCAATATCCAATCGCAGTAAAGGAAATATTTCTTGTATACTGTTGACTTCAGTTGTTGATTTCAATTGCGATGGAAACAAAACTTGTCACTGACTGAATAAGACGTCACAATAGAGAGGCGTAAATATTCAAGATTACGACACTTTTTGTGATCAAGCAGCCACGGGTAGGAGAGAGCTATATGTGGACTCCGGACCGTGGCTTGAGACGATGGGACCAGACACGAATTAGGACATTTTTCTTCCGGTGACCTTGAACTTCCCCAAATGTCCTTGGCCCAAGATCATGACACACTCTTATGGCATGGGCAGTCTTTGTGTGAAATGAGAACCTACCAAGTTTATCCATAAGAAGGATATGGACTGGACACGAATTATGATTTTTTTTTTTCAGTGACCTTGAACTTCCCCAAATGACCTTGGGTCAAGATTAAAACAAATCTTAGGTCATGGGAAATCTTTGTGTGAAATAAGAACATGCCAAGTTTATCCGTAAGAAAGATGTGGACCGGACACAAATTAAATTTTCTTTTCAGTGACCTTTAACTTCCTCAAATGTCCTTGGACCAAGGTCATGACACACTCTTAGGTCATGGGCAATCTTTGTGTGGATTGAGAACCTACCAAGTTTATCCTTAAGAAAGATATGGACCGAACACGAATTATGAAATTTTTCTTCCAGTGACCACGAATTTTCCCAAATGACCTTGGGTCAAGGTAATGACACACTCTTACGACATGGGCAGTCTTTGTGTGAAATAGGAACCTACCAAGTTTATCATAAGAAAGATTTGGACCGGACACTAATTATGAAAT